TTTTGCATTTTACTGTATAAAAATTAAACCGTGGCTAGGTGCAGTGGCTCAAGCCTATAATGCCAGCACTTTGGGAGGCAGAGCCGAGCAGATCCTGAGACCCAGAGTTTGAAACCAGCCTGACCAACATGGTGAAACCCTGTCTCTACTAAAAATACAAAAAAATTAGCCAGGCATGGTGGTGGGCACCTGTAATCCCAGCTACTTGGGAGGCTGAGGCAGGAGAATCGCTTGAACTCAGGAGGCGGAGGTTGCAGTGAGCCGAGATTGTGCTACTGCACTCCAGCCTGGGGAACAGAGCGAGACTCTGTTTCAAAAGTTGTAATAATAGTTTCACCTTAAAAAGCATTTCCCCAATCTCACACCCCCTCCAGACACCACATACTTCTCTCCTTTACTTCATGACCGCTGTTGTCAAGATTTATTTGTATTTGGTGTTTCCATTTCCCCGTAGCCCATGCATGCCTCAATCCACTCTCTACTCCCTCCAACCAACCAAACAGCCCCCTCTAGGGTTTCCCAGTGACCTCGGTGCCACAAAATCTAAGGGACATTTGTCTTCATCTTGCTTGCCCTCTCTCAAAGTCACTGGGCGCATTTCACCACATCTTCTCATTTAAGACATTCTGTGTCCACGCTGACCAATGCGGTAGCCAGGAGGGATACGTGGCTCTGTAACACTTGAGATGTGACTAGAATGACCGAGTAACTGAATTTTATTTAGAATTTCTCAATGTTTCCAGATGACTGTGAAGTGCAACAAATTTCTACTAATTCACAGACCCACCGCTCTAGTCACCCACCTGGTACCTTCATCCAGACTCATGACTTCAATTTCCAATATATACCAGTTTGTAAAACAGCCCAGTCATCTTCCTCTCACTCCACGGCAATCTATCCACCTGCCTACTTAGCATCTCCACTTGGGCACCTCAAATTCACCATGCCAAAACTGAATTCACGGTCACCTGTATCCCATCCCCTCCCAGAATTCCCCATCAAAGCTCAGAGCCCCACCATCCATCCAGCTTTACGAGCCAGAAGCCTAACAGCCCATTCAATGCCACCATGTTTCCTTGTATCTACCCATATTTTCTCATAAACATCTCTTTAATTCGTTTCCTTCTCTCCCACTTACTTTCATTCTAATCCAAGCTTCCTTCCATCCACCTCTTGCCTAACAATTGTAATTGCCTCCTGGCTGCCTTTTTTTTTTGAGACAGGGTCTCACTCTGTCACCTAGGCTGTAGTGCAGTGGTGTGACCATAGCTCACTGCAGCATTGACTTCCTGTGCTCAAGTAATCCTCTCACCTCAGCTTCCTGAGTAGCTGGGGACTACAGGTGTGTGCCATCATGCTCAGCTAATTTTTAATTTTTTTAAGAGATAGGATCTTGCTATGTTGCCCAGGCTGGCCTTGAACTCCTGGGCTCAAGCAATCCTCCCACTCCAGCCTCCCAATGTACTGGGATTACAGACGTGAGCCACTGTGTCAGGCCCTGACTCTTCCCTCTGCCTCCACTTTTGCCCTCTACAGTCTCACAAAGGCAACCAGGACGTCTCTCCCCTCAAAATGCTTCCATGTCTCCCTTCCAAATTCTCTTAGAACATGGACAGCTACTCTCATGTGGCCCCTGCCCCACTTCATGTCCCATAATATTTCCCTCTTTCTCTCCATTCCAGCCCCACGCCCCACTGACCTTCAAGTCCCTCACACTCTCTGTGCCCATCCCCAACCCCGGACCTCTGTATACACTGTTCCATCCGTGTGGAACACTGTTCCCTTCTCTCTTGGCCTTCTCATCCTCCGGTCTCAGCCTGCCCTTTTTTTCACAGGGAAGTTTTCTTGACCAGGTTAGGTCCTCCTATCATTTGATATCACAGCATCATGTCATTCTCACTTGTAGCATTTATAATAATTTGTAACCATATATAAATAAATTTTTTTTATATTTTTGAAGTCCAAAGTAATATATAAATAAATATACTGTGAGGTTATTATTACTTTCTTGCCCAGTAGACTATAAAGTCCATGAGGGCAGGCATGGCACCCTATTTTTTTTCTTGGATGCTGTATCCTTGCATCTGGCACATAATTTGTGCTCAATAAATATTTACTGACTATATGAATGAATGAAAAGTTCAATTCAAATGCAGGACTAGCATTAAAGCTGGAACCAAGGGCAGCACCAAGGTCAGGGCTAGGACCACGGACAGTGTCTGGGATTGGAAGTTGGTTAGACACAGCCACCAGGGCAGAGGCAGAATCAAGCCAGACCAGGGCACATCCTGGCAGGACCAGATGGTACAAGCACTTTGGAAAACTGTTTGATGGAACCTACTAAATGTACTAAAGCTGAACACATGCAAACCCTCTGATCCTGCAATTTCACTCCTAGGAATGTACCCTGTACCCAACACAGCAGTACTGCTCATAATAGCCCCAAACTGCGATCCACTCAAACATTTCACATCAGTAGAATAGATTAAATAAATTGTGGCTTATTCACACAGTGGAATAAAATAAAGCAGGAATGAACTATAGTCATATGCAGTTGTGTGATGGATCTCACTAAGATGAGGTTGAACAAAAGCCAGACACAGGAAGGAACATGCTGAATAGTTCTATTTCCGTGAAGTTTGAGGAGAGGCAACATTAATCTGCAGTGCCTCAAGTCAGAAGTGTGATACTCTTGAGGGGGTGGTGACTAGCAGGGGTGTGGTGGGGCGATGGTGCTAAAAGTGTCTTGTTTCTTGATCTGGATGATGGTTACCCAGTTGTGTTTGTTTGTGGAGTTAACTGAGGCAGGGATTGGGGAGCACAGAGAGACAAGAGGTGAGAGGAAAGGTAGTGGGGGGTGGGGGAGTCCCAGGATGAGACAGGAGAGAGGGCTATGGCGAACAGGAGTGTGAGGAGGCCGGTCAGGATTCAGCTCAGGTGAAGAGTTGAGGAGATGCTGAAAGGTGCCCAGCTCTTCCAGACCAGAGGCTGGACAAAGGAGGGCAGGGTGGGTGTGGAAATTCCTGGCTGGTGAGGAGTGGGGGATGTGTCACTGGTAGGCGGTGGTGACTGTGACACACACACACCCCTGCCCAACAGGCACACATCTTCTGGCTTTCCACTTTTAAACTTTTCTCCTGGATCAGAGAAAAAGGAGTTTTCAGGGCTACCAGCCATCACATTCTGCTACCAGCCAGCAAGAGACGGAAGGGGAGCTGCACAGGGACAGAGTGTTTCCACACCAAGAAGCTCCCCACCCAAGAAAGCTCAGGCCGAGAGGCCAGGAATGCAGAGAGCTGCCCTTTCCTGTGCCCCTGGCCCTCTCACAGCCTGGAGTGCAGGCTTGGGTAAGAGGTGGGCTCTGGCCTACCCTCACATCTTGTCACTTCAAGTCTAAGCCATTGCAAATCACTCCACACCATGGGAGTGCTTACACAAACATGTGTACACACGTACACTTACAAACATATTCATGTGTTCATCCACAAATACAAAATAAACATACCTGCACAGAGATACACAAATCCACCCCCAAAAGCCTGCATCCTTGCAGGCACACATAGGGGTGCCCATGCGCGTGCGCGCACGCGCGCACACACACACACACACACACACACACACACACACACACATCCTCCCCTTCAGGTTTCCTCCACACTGAGTCATTGGGTTGCACCTAAGAAGGTTGATTTCTTGTTGGCTCCAAGGGCAGCTGTGTGAATGAAAGAACCTAGATGGTGTGAGAGGAACCAAACAGGAGGCTGTTCCCCAGTGGGGAGCAGAGGACACATGGCCTCCCCCACACTTCCCCGTACCCCTGGAGGCCTCTGTGAGTTGTCCAGTGCCCCTCCCCAAATAATCGAATTCCTCAGCTTTCCCTCCTGGGGAAAGGGAGAGAGTCTTGGCAGCAGGAAGGAGTGAAGACAGCTCACCAGCTTTCCTGGAGAGCTGGTGAGACTGGACTAGAAGAGCAGAGCAGCCTCCATTGACCACACACACAGAGGCTCCTTCCCTATCTCTCTCCCTGCCCTGTTGCCACCACCCACCCCTCTAGCTCCCTCTTCCAGCTCCTGGAAGAATTCTGCTCTTTTCTCAGTACTGGGCAAGCAAAGAATTGGGTGTCTCTTCTGTCTCCCCTTCACCATTCCCCCTGTCGCTATGTCTGGGGTGGGTCTCTGCAGTGTGTTTGGGGGGGTATGGCCTCACCCTCTTGGCACCCTCCCCACAGTTGGAGGGCTGGCAGGGATGGGGGCATCGTCCCAAACTGTGACTCAGCTTCCTGGGTATTTGGTATTGTAGCCAACTTTGACACTTTGCTCATTAGGGACTGTACAGGTCCCAAGGGGTGGGGAGAGGGGCTGTCTTCCATAAGAGACGTTCCAGAGATGGGGGTTCTGGCCCCACCCCCATGCTTCCCTCTGACCCTCCTGCTACACCCCCAGTTGAATCTGGCAATGAGAGGTGAAGGTAGAAGAATTCTAGGAGTGAGACTTACAAGGGAATGTGGGGGTCCCAGATGCTGGGCTGAAACCAGGTGGGAGGGAGGTGTCAGGGAGGTGTAGGTTGGGGAATCCAGATGGCCCTTATTCTGAGGAGCTAATCGGCCTGGGAATGGAAAAATTAAGAGAAAGGATTTCCTGCCCCCAGTCGAAAATGGTTAGGGGAGCAATGAGAGACAGGAAGGCAAGTTCTGGTCCTGCACCCTAGTGGCCAGGTCTCGAGTGAGCAGAAGGAAGTTGGAGGAATTTGAGGTGCTGGATCCGCAGGCACTTGGAGGCAGGGTCAGGGAAAAGAGGAGGGGCTGGAGATGCGGGAAGCAGGGGCGGGCCGGGCAGCAGCTGTGGTGTTTCCGAGTTGCTTCCCAGTAGTTCCTCTCAGTTCCACTTCCAGTTGTTTCTATGCCATGAAATTCTTTCCAGGCGAGATAAGGGGCCCACCCGCCCCACCCAGCGAGTGTCACGTGTACTGGTGGCGGCAGGGGTGGGGGTGGGAGGGGTCGGGGGTGAGAGCTCGGGTTCAGACAGAGGCAGGGGGAGCCTGGAAGGAGCACAGAGTGAAGACGGAGCCCCTGTACCCCCAGAGGCATCTCTCAGCCATCCCAGCCCTACTGAACCGTGAGTCATGAGTGCAGAGCTCTGGCCAAGAACAAGTTTTAGGATCCTCTCTGCAGGCTCTCTGCACTTCCCAGACCTGAGGGTCCTGACTGTCCCATTTCAGTATTTCCTGAAGAGATCTCCCCGAGCTCCCTCCCTGCAACTCTCACGCTGCCACCTAGGGATGGATTCCTATCTGGATGTCCAAAGCACCCTCTGGCACCTCCTGGAGCCCGGAGTCTGGAGCCCAGAGCCTGGCCTCAGCTGCTCCAGCCCAGCACTTGGGGTTCCAAAAGCACTTTCCTTGTGAGGTTCAGCTGGCCACCCCCTCAGCCCAGCCCTATCTTCCTGCCAGCCCCAGCACCTCCAGGGCCCAGGGGCTCACCTACCAATAACCACCTCTATCCTGGTTCCACCATCTGACTCCCGGAGTCCCTCAGTTTGTTCCCAACCCCTCTCAGTTGTCTGCATCCCATCCAAACCCTGACATACACCCCCCACCCTGATATACACCACCCACCCCAACACACACATACCACCTTTGCCTCCCAGACACTCCTTCACAGGAAGCCTGGTCCCCTGACTCCCTGTCCCGACTCCCTGTCCCCTCACTCCCATAGTGAATGCTCCTATCTCCTCTTCCTGAGCAGAAGTCCTTACCCTGGGAGCACTGCTGAGAGCTCACCTGCCACACCTTCACCTGGGGTGTGAGGACAGGTGAGAAATCCCCTGCCTCTCCTTCTGGGTCTCCCCAGAGCTCTGTTCCTTACCTGGGCAACCGGGCAGCTGCAATGCCTCTGCACCTGCTCTATCGCCAACTCTGGGAGGGGGGCGTCTCAGGGCAGGGCAGGGAAGTCTCCCTCACTTGTCCACTGCAACAGGGGCTGAGCCACAACTGACTGTGGATCTCAGTAGCGACAGTGAGAAGGAGGGAGTCTGCAGCGAGCAGGGGAGGAGAAGGGGAGGATCAGGATGAGGTCAGGGAGGGGAGCGGAGATAGGGCAGGTCCTCCCACCCCTCCCAGGCCCTCCCACATCACCCCTCCTCTTCTCCTGCCCTCACCCCAGCCCCCCCACTCCCTGTCTGGCACCACTGTCTCACCATACCCTCATCTCAACTCCGAGCCCTGGTCTTACCTTCCACGCCCTTTCCCTATCCCATTTTTTACTCTCACCCCAATTTTTACCCAACTTGACATCCCCCACCCTTCCTGCCATTTTCCCCACCTGCTGCCCCTCCTCTCTGACCCCAGTGGTTTCCTCTCAGCCTATATCCTTCCTCGAGGCCAGTCCCCTTCCCCTCCCTTCCCCATGCTCCCCTCCCACCTCTTCCCAGCCACTGTTCTAGCTTGGATCTTTGGATTGCACCCCATGTCTGTCACCCAGCACTGGCTCCCTCATCCTCTCACCAATTCTCCCTTGGCAGTCCAGGGCAGGGAGCAGGGGTTGGGGGCAGGAGGCAGGAGACAACCTCCTTCTCCAACTGGAACTGTCTCTAGGAACCCAAGTCCCCGCCCTCCCCTAGTCCCATCATTTCTATCTTCTCTGCTTATCCCGTCCCCGAGCCACACCTGCTGTCTGTTCTGCTCAGCCCCTCTCCAGTCACTGCCCCTTTGCATTCTCCCACCTCAGTAAGTTCCTAGAGAAAGAGCAGGTGAGACTTGGGCACTGGCAGGGCAAGGGCTTGGGTGAACACTGGGAAACAGAAGCCTTGGGGAGGAAGCTGGGGTTGAGTGGAGACAGAGAAGGAAAGCCTGAAGGTTAGGAGGAATGTTTGTGGATGAAGAAAGGGCTAGAGGCAGGAGGCACACATAAGGGTGGGTCGCCTGAGTAGAGGGTTAAGTGGTGGAAAGCAGGTTGGGGCGCTGGTGCCTGAGTGCTGCAGGGGAGCAGGAGCAGAGGCAGGGAGAGGAAGGCGCAGGAGGAAACGGGCACTCTGTCTCTGGTTCCAGGCAGACAAAAGACTGATAGCCAGAGGACAGGGCAGACAAGGAGATAGACACACCCCACGTAATCTGTTGGGTGCTTCCCTGGCTTCCTCTTCCCATGTGCTGCTCTGGCAAGAGGCTGAAAAAGAGACTTTGTTACAGAGGAGAACTATCCTAGCTAAGTGGGAACCCACTACCCTCAGCTTCACAGTAAGGACCGAGTCTCTCTATCCTGCTGCAAACCTCACTACTGAGATGTAACTTGGCCAAGTCACAGGTGATAGTGAAAGGGACGTGAAGGGTGGCAGCCCAGGTGTCTGCACACCAGGTCAGATCCCCATGGTCACAGGTATGCTGTGTTCCTGGGTCAGGGTGTGCCTGCACAGCATACAGCTGTGGCCAGATGCCTAGTAAGCTCCATGTGGCCGAGGGCAAAGGCACACATGGGCTTTCTCGTGGGTGTCCCCGTGTGTGTCCGTGTGTCTGGGTGTGTGCGGCTGTTTTTTTCCTGGCTTTGATGGGGAGGATGAAGTCAGCATCTTGCACAGAGCCAGGCTCAGCTTCCTTCCTCTGCCTTGGCCTGAAGCCCCCAGAGCCAGGAGTAGGTAGCAGCTTCCCAAGGATCTCCTGGCAGGAGGTGGGCAGCATAGCAGAGAAAGGATGAGGGAGGGTCTGGAGACAGCATCACACACAGAGGGCAGAACACAGAGTATGAATTTTTTCTGACACTTTCAGATTTCTGTTCCATGGTCATATCCTTTTTCTTTTTTCTTTTTTGTGCCTATGCCCTATGTCCTGGCTTTATTATTTAGGAAGAATGGTCAACATAAGTACATTTGGCACAGAGAATGGCCAGGGACCCCAGAGAGGAGAGCCAGAAGTCCCGGGATGTTCGGGAAGCCCACTGTTGGGGTCTGAGAAATGTGGGATTCCAGATGTTCACAAGTTTATAAAGCATTTGGGGAAACCACTGGAAGCTTCGCGGATACAGTTTCAGGTTCTGAAATGATCATTGTTTACCACTTGATTCACCCTTTGGTTTCCAGGCTCATGGAGCAGCTCGTCTTATATGTTCACAGCTTGTAAGAAAAGCACCAAGTTGGCAGAGCGAGGTGGCTCATGCCTGTAATTCCAGCACTTTGGGAGCCCAAGGTGGGTGGATTATGAGGTGAGGAGTTCAAGACCAGCCTGGCCAACATGGTGAAACCCCATCTCTACTAAAAATACAAAAATTAGCTGGGCATGGTGGCACGTGCCTGTAATCCCAGCTACTCAGGAGGCTGAAGCAGAATTGCTTGAACCCAGATCCAGGAGGCAGAGGTTGGGGTGAGCCGAGATCATGCCACTGCACTAAAGCCTGGGCTACAGAGTGAGACTCTGTCTCCAAAAAGAAAAGAAAAGAAAAGCACCAAGCCTTGCATAGTGTAGGTGACCAATAAATTCAACACTGAAATATGAAAGGACTGGGAGAGAGAAGGGGGAAAGATTAAGGAGCCCAGGCGTGAACGCAGGAAAGCCCAGCGGTCAGAGATGGGGTTGGCTTCACTAAGGTGTCCTGGGTGGTGGTGGTAGAAAGGTCAGTGCTTCTGAGAACTGTCCACAAGCTCTGGCTGTTCTCTGTGTCCTCAGTCCCTGTGTCTTCAGCTCTGAGCCTCCTTCCTTGAATGATCCTCCAAGTTCCTGTCCTGACCTCAGGAAGAAAAAGGGATGAAAGATATAGAAAAGGAAAGGAAAGACAGAGAGGAGAGAAGGCAGACACAGAAGACTGTAAGGGCAACTGAGGGCAAGGACCTGAAGGATGAATGCAGGGGAACAAGAGATGCCAGGGGCTGCAGTCCAAAGAAGCAGTCCCAGAGAAGGGAAAGATAGAAAACACTTGTGTCGGGCTTCCGTTTACAAAACAGTTTCCTACACAGTGCGGGCATGAATCCCACTTTGTGGCTGAGGAAACGGAGACTCATAGACATTAAGGGTCTTGTTCAAGGGGCTAAGTTAGTGGTGGTGAAGGTGGGTCTCTCCCAGGTGTTCTGATTCCTAAGCCTGTTTTCACTCCCCTCCCCAAACTCCAGGAAAGGAAAGGACTGAAGACTTAGGGAAGAAACGAAGTGGCTTCTTGAAGGACTTGTGCAAAGAAGGGTGGAGAATCCGCTTTTTGAAACTTCTGCATCCAGTTATTCTGTAGATTCAGTTTGAAGAAACCGCATCACATGGGGAAGGGGGTGGTCAACATTCCATTACTGAGAACTGGGGGTGGGATGAGAATGGGGAGCACAGAATGAAAAGAGCCCAGATGAAAGATGGGAGAGAACTAAGAGGCTACAGCTGAAAAGGGGGCAAGAGAGCCTCAGAAAGAAGGGTTTGGACCCTTAAAACTTCCTTTGCCTGGAGACATGGGTGTGGGGAGAAGGGAGGAGGAAGGACATTTCTATCTCGTGACAAAAGAAAGTCACACAATTGTTTTGTTCTCTGTTCTGGGGCGGGTGGGCGCCTGTATTTACCAGAGGGACCCAGGTCGCTGTGGCAACCACACATCTGGGCCCCGGAATCCAGATGTGCTGTATCCAGAAGCCATAGCAGAACGATGAGGCAAACATTAGGCTCCCCAGTCCTGGCCCCCACAGCTGGGAAGAGAATTGATGTGGGAAGTGAAGGGCGTGGGGGAAGGAAGGAGGAGGAGAGGACCAAAGTGGGGGAAAAAAAGGAAATAATGGAAAAGAGCAAGGAATGTGGATGAAGGAGTAGAATAGAAAATAGTAGTGGGGGGCAGCATGAAAAGGGAGGAGGCAAGCACAGGGTCAGTGGCAGCAGCAGATGAGAAGACCAAGAAAAACAAAGGAAAAAGACAGTGAGTTAAAAAAAATAAAATAAGGCTGGCACGGTGGCTCATGCCTATAATCCTAGCACTTTGGGAGGCCAAGATGGGAGAACTGCCTGAGGCCAGGAGTTCCAGACCAGACTGGACAACATAGTAAGATCCCACTTCTATTTTTACATAAAAAAATTTTAATGAACAGTGAAGCAGTGGAGTGGGGGAAGATACACAAGAAGAAAAAACAATGATGAATAATGGGTCTAAAAGAGGTAATGATAACTGGTAATGAAATAGAGAGCAAAGAAAGGCAGGAAAGAAATCTAGAAAGAGGAAGGGAGGAATGACAAGTCCAGGGATGAGAGAAAACAAAAGGCAGGATCCTGAGGAAGAAAAGCAGGAGATGGTAGCACAAGGAAAGCAGAACAGAAACATAAAGCAGGCAGAGGGCAGGAGGGGCCAATGAGGTGCAGGAGTGACAGCGGCCTGGCATGCTGAGTGGCTCTGGGGTAAGGCCAGAGGAATGGAGAGCCACATGGGCCTGAGGGCAGCAAGCAGCCAGAGCCTGCCCTGCTTTCACCCTGCATTGGGTACCACCCACCATCCCTCTCAAGTCCCTCCTGCCACTGCACTCCCTCGGCCAAGAGAGGTCTGATGTCTCATTCACACTGAAGTGCCAGCTGTGCCTTGCCACTCAGCAGAGAAGCAGGATCCCCACCTCAGGGCCCCCCATCTGAGACGCCAGCACTTCAAGTACTTCCCCTAACTGGGGTCAGGAAGGAGAAAGAGCAATAGGACAATTAAACAGTGATAAACCCAGATGGGATAAAAGTGGAGCAGAGGAGAAAAGGACAATGGAGATGAGGACAGAACGGGGCAAGGGATAAGGACAAGGTGTAGCTATTATGGACCAGGCACTGAGGACGTTGTCCTTCATCCTCTCATTAACCCTGACTAGGAGGTAGGAACATCTCCTCTTACAGATAAGGAAACTAAGCCTCAGAATGTTTAAGGACATCTACTAATGAAAGGCAAGGCAGCGAATCCAGCTCAGGTGATGTGCTTCCAAAATCCTTGTTCTCACTGCACTCCCTCCAGAGATAGGGCTGGATAAGGCTCAAGGACTCTGGGATAGGAAGCACAGCCGAGAAGCTGGGCTGCCCTCTGGAGGGAGGAAAGGTCTAGTTCCTGGGAGCCCCAGTTCCAGGTTGCCATAGTTACTTGGTCTGTTTTCACCCCAAACACAGTGACGGGTGAGGGCAGGAGGAGGGGAGGGGGGATGCCTGGCTGGACACATGAGGTTCTTCCTCCCTCCTTCAGGCCTGGGCTTATGGCCCGGGCAGCCCCTGTCCAGTCATCTGGGCATTGAGCCCAGGCCCAGCTCATACCCTCCAGCTGACCCAGGACACTCCGGCAGGGTCAGGCCTGAGGAGCTGCTGGACAGGAGCAGCTGGAGGGGGGATTCCTCCAGGTTGGCCTCAGACTCAACCCTTCACTTTCTCCTACTCCTCTTCCTCCTAAGTAGAATGCACAGCCTAGCCAGGCGCAGTGGCTCTGCCTGTAATCCCAAGCACTTTGGGAGGCCAAGGTGGGCAGATCACGAGGTCAGGAGTTTGAGACCAGCCTGCCCAATATGGTGAAAGCCCGTCTCTACTAAAAATACAAAAATGAGCCAGGTGCAGTGGCGCACGCCTGTACTCCTGTTATTCAGGAGACCGAGGCAGAGATTGCAGTGAGCAGATATGGTGCTGCTGCACTCCAGCCTGGGCGACAGTGAGACTCCGTCTCAAAAAAAAAGTGTACAGCCTTTTCTGCCTGCCCCCCTCTTGTCTTTGTCTTTGATAGGACTCCAAAGTCTCAGTCCCCTTGTTTAGGGCTTAGAGAATATCCTGCCACATTCCCCTTCCCTTCCAAATATTACCCCTTCTTCACCGAGGCCCCTCCTTCCTGGGCTCTGAGCCTCTGGCTCCAGCTCCTGTTGTTTGTTGGAGCTGCTCGTCCTGGACAGCAAGATGAGGGGGAGAACCTGCTCAAGAGCAGGAGACCCAGAGGCTGCTGACCCTGAAGGGCGTGGTGCCCCATCTTTCCTGTTGACTCAGACACATTCCAGGGATGTGTATCCTCCAGTCTGTCACGCCATGGGACATCATTGCTAGACACAGATATACCCCAGAGTTGCAGGGCCGGGGGCAAGGGGATGACATGCGGTCTGTGATCCTGCACCCATCCCGCCTCAGGGCCAGCTATGTCTTCAGTGCTTGAGTCTTTGATGGTGGCCCTGGAGAAATCACTTTCCCCCAAACTCCCCTTCATGAGCCAGGAAGGCAGCCACCATTCCTTTAACTCCCTCCAAGTTGTTTATTTAACAATAAAAAAAGAAGAAATGCACACACATAAACCTGTACTCCCCCTGCCACCCTCCCTAACTCCCAGTAACTAGCTCCAAAATGCAAAAACTTCCCTTGTCCCACCTGGGGACTAAATTCCCACCTCCACCTGCCAAAACAGAGCAACAAAATAAAGAGTATGCAGCAGCCCACCACCCACTCTGCAACTGAACCTCACACAATCCCCTCAATGAAAGAAGCCGGGACTGGGGGTTCATAGGAATGAGAGGAGCCCTATATTCTGAAAAGGGACGAGAAGAGAGGTGAATACCCCCACCTCAAATAAGTGCTTAACCCCCACACCTGGTTTTTCCTTTACCAATTGCCCCAAGCCTGGGGATCAGGGAAATTTGAAACAGTCCCACCTGGCCACCCAGTACCCGCCCTGTCCCCTCACACCCCGTTCTAAGTCAGTGTAAATGGCAGAGGTCAGGGATGATTGAGGTAGAGGGGCTGGTGAGAGGCCTGGTGGGCCTGGCTGGCTGCAGAGGCTGGCAAGGGGCCACCTGTGGCATTGCCTGGGGTGGGGGATGGCTGTTTTCGGAGCGAGGGGGGCACCGTGGAGGTCTTGATGTGAATCACCCTGGTGTCCATGACCTCACATTCGATCTGCATCATCTCCTCATAGTCCCCCGGGGCCCCACGGCCTGACAAGGTCTCTGTGAGAAGAGGAGAGTTAAGGAAGAAAAGATGGGGAGGCAAACAGGGATTGGAGGGAGGAGGGGAGGAGGTTGGAAAAGTAGAGGTGAGCAGGGAGGAAAGGAAAGGGCAGTAGTGAGGAGGCAGATCCAGTGGGAGTTAAACAGGATGGCAGGGGCAGAGTAGGGTGCAGGGACAAGGAGAGGGGTAGGAAAATAAAAGGACATTGATGAATGTAGGGGTCACACAGGAGAAGACATCAAGAGAAAAAAAGGAAGTGAGAATCTAGCAGGTTCCTGGCCTACCCGCCTCTGCCCAGCCATCCTCCCAAGCACCAAGGAAAGACCCTCCCCCTTGTCTCCCTCCAGAAGTCTCCTGCATGTTGCTCTTCCCTCCACCCACTTCCTGCTGCTTCTCACCTGTGGATCTAGCAGCAATCTGGATGCCTTGCTCCTCTCCCTCTGCCCCCTCAGCTCCCAGGCTGGATCTCCCTATTAGAACTGCCCCCATACCCAGCAGGGAAAGAGTTACCATTGGGGGCCATAGCAGGCATCACCAGAGACATCTTGGGCCGGGAGGTCTTGTTGTGGCTGATGGCTGGGAGCAGCAGGTGATCCTGGGGAACAGAGGGGCCAGGCTGGGAGGGTGGAGGGAAAGAGGCCGACAGGCTCCCCACTCCACACCCTCCCACTGAAGATGGACTGTGGGGAACCTGGGGTGAGAGATGGGCTGGCAGGAGAAACTCACCCTTCGGAAAGAGACAACATAGAATGTGTCTTCCCGTCGGTCAATTGCATCCAAGAACGCTGGCTGTGAACGGTCTGGGTGGCGATATAGCTGCAGTTGGCCCACAGAATCCCTAGGCAGGTGAGGAAACAGGATTTGAGGGAAATTAAGCCCGGTGCTCAGTTTCTACCAGGGAAGGGGATAGGATGAGAGAAGACAAGAGACCACCGGTGGAGGAAGGAGGTATAATCCCACTGGTGACAGTGATGACAGGCACAGGACAACTGCTGGGGGTACAGCTCTTGAGAGTGGAATCTCACTTACTAAGCACGCAACCCCACACTCACCTTTCTGGGGGTCCAGGGGGTTGGATGGGGACTGCCTTAACTGGAGGTGACTTCCGTGGCTGAGACTTCTGGAAGGAGAAGTATCTAAGGATTTGGAGAGGGTGAAGGGAAAAGGGAAAGAGCCCCTGGAAGCTGATGCCACCTCACACTCAACCCGCCACTTCCTTCAAACGATCCCTCTAACTTCCACAGTGAGATGCCCACTAGAAACACCACACAAGACATTTAGCCCTTATCTTCAAGTGGCCTTCCTTGAACCAGCCACCCACCCTACCTGTCTCTCCTGGGCCCTCTGAGGGATCTTCCGCCGGCCTCTCTGGTGGCGCTGGACCCAGCCACTCAACTCGTCAGCAAGCCTGGGGAAGCGAAGGAGGCTCAGGACCTCCATGCCAGGCCAAGATTCCCACTTTCCTTGCCCACCCACAGGAGTAGAGGACACGGAGCTCTACAATTCAGTATGTAGGCCAGCCAGGTTGACTGCAGAGACCCTTGGGAGGACAGGGGAGAATGCCCCAGCTGTGACTCCCACACCTCAGGGACTCGGTTCGGTTGAAATGCCGGCAATCAGAGGAGAGGAAGAGCTGGTCTAGGTCTCTCAGTAGTAGCTCCTTGGCGCCCCCAGGGAAGGCTGTCAGGTTCCTGGAGTGAGGTAGGAAGAAGGCAACACTTGGAGACTGCCCAGTACGCCCACATCAACAAAGGCGGCAACGAAGGCAAGAGAAAGCTTTGGGTCACCCCCGCAACTGAAAGCAGGGAGACGACTAACTCATACCCTCAAAGGAGGAGGGGTCCTCTCTTGCTCCTCACCTGAATCTGGGCTGGTCTTCGGGGCTAGGCTGGGGCTCCTCAGGGCTATGGGAGGACCCCTGGAGAGGTTCAACTCTGTGAACTGGCCCTGAGAACTCCAGCAAGTGTCTCCGGGGGCGAGGCTCCCCCTTGTTCACCCGAGCAGAGATGGGAGCTGAAGGAGGCTCACTGATGCTGTGGATAAAGAGGGACAGAGCACAATGAAGAATTCCACCTGTATCAAGTGTCTAGTTAAGGATAAGGGCTCTGCAGAGGGACTGCTTGAGTTGCAATCTGTTGTACAAGCCTGAGTCTCTGCCTCTGTAAGACAGGAATAAGGATGGTCCCTGCATACAAAGAGAGTGTATCACCTAAAGACTAGAACTCAGTAAGCACTTAATGGTCAGTATTTCTTTTTTTTCCTATACACACACACTTGCACAGATGCACACATCCCCCACCCCCGCCATAGTCACTATTTCTACCATCATTAACACCATAACCTACTCTCCACTGGAGAAATAATGGAGCAGGAAGAAGCTGGCTAGACACACCATCAGTGCCAAGGACACCAGAACTGTTTGTGTATAAGCAGAAGGAAATGGCCTGGGCCAAAGCAGGCAGCCAGGAGGCTGTAAGGTGGGTTCCACCTGGAAGGTTCTAGTGAAGCAAGGAGGGTCTCACCTGACAGGTCCAAAGTTGAAGGCGATGAAGAGAAGGAAGACCATGATGCAGACCACCTTCCTGTTTCCCGATCCTAACTTGAGCTCGCTGTTCTAAGGTACAGAGAAAGAGACAAGAAAGGGAATCGGCCTAAGGAAGCTGTGTTCCTGTGGGTCTCCCAGGGAAAACTGGTCTTACTTCAGCCAGCAGGGCCTCCAGCCGCCGCCGGAGGGCAGCATTCTCCCGGCGGAGCTGCTGGTTGTCAGCCAGTACCGCCTGCAGCCGAGCCTCCAGCCCCTGCAAATACTCTTTCTTCTTTCTCCGGGACTGGCAGGCTGACTCCCTGTTCTTGATCATTCGCTGCTGCCGCTTCAGCAGCTTTGCCTAGGCACCGAGAAGGGCAAAAAAGCGAATGACAGATGAGTTGGAGAGGTGCACTATGCTTCCATACCCTGGGGAATGATTTATCCAAAGCTCACAGGGCCACTCCCTTGCCTTCCTGACCCACCTACATAGCCAGCTTTTTCCTCTCTACTCAAACATTCTAGGGAAGGGGCCCTTCTCTCAAACATTTCCTGCTACTGCTCCTCAGAGGTGGGAAAAGTTAGAGCGCAGGAAGAACTCTGTCCATGCCAGTGGAAACTTTTTTTTTTAAAGACGCAGGGTCTTCCTACGTTGCCCAGGCTGGAGTGCAGTGGCTATTCACAGGCACGATCAGCACAGGAGTTTTGACCTTCTCCGTTTCTGACCTGGGCTGGTTCACCCCTCCTTAGGCAATCTGGTGGTCCTCTGCTCCTGGGAGGTCACCATATTGATGCCAATCGGCATAGCGCACTAAAGCCCAGGACTCCTGGGCTCAAGAGATCCTCCAGCCTCAGCCTCCTGAGTAGCTGGGACTACAGGCACGCGCCACCGCGCCCATCAGAAACTCTTTCCTTAGTAAGTCTTTCTTCCTGTCACCCCACATTTGTAGGGCTCAAAGTTTAACTGTTATACTGCCTATGCATTTTATCTGATTTTCCCCTAGGAGGCTGCCTCCCTCCCCAGCTAAGTCCACAAACATAGTTGTATGGTATAGTATGACTTCCCTGCCTTTAACTTACGGAGACCAACCCCATTTCTCCATCTGCAGTTACAGCAAACCTAAAAGACCCCAGAACTACATGGAGTTGGCCGGGCACGATGGCTCAAGCCTATAATCCCAGCACTTTGGGAGGCCGAGGCGGGTGGATCACAAGGTCAAGAGATCGAGACCATCCTGGTCAACATGGTGAAACCCCGCCTCTACTAAAAATACAAAAAAATTAGCTGGGCATAGTGGCGCGTGCCTGTAATCCCAGCTACTCAGGAGGCTGAGGCAGGAGAATTGCCTGAACCCAGGAGGCGGAGGTTGCGGTGAGCCGAGATCATGCCATTGCACTCCAGTCTGGCGAACAAGAGCAAAACTCCGTCTCAAAAAAAAAAAAAAAAAAACTACATGGAGTTGATACTCATAGAAATAAGAGCCCATTCTGACCCCCTGGAATGATCTAATGGATCTGCTTCCTCACTTTTTGGTCCTGGGTCTCAACTCCCTCCTCATCTCAAAGTTGTCTCCACAACAGACTTCCCTCTTCCCTTCCTATCACTTGCACTACTCCTCTCCTCCCCGACACTTACATCCACTTCAGGAGGGCAGGAGTTTCCAGGCATAGGAGCAGGAACAATGCTCTTCCTCTCAGGCCGTGGAAGAGAGGGAGCTGGCCCTTCAGGCTGGACTCGAATAGCACCCTGGATGAGGACAACTGGGGACACTGGGGCAAGTGAGCAGAGGTGGTCAGAGGGCTATGCGCTGGGTGGGGTCCTTGTGCCCACACCCGTACCAGTGTACCCCAGGGTTGAGAGCCACAATGGCTGCGAGCTCCCTGACAAGGTCAATCCAGCCTGCCTCGTTTTCTTTTTTAAAAATAATTAATTAATTAATTTTATTATTATTATTTTTTAGATGAAGTCTCGCCCTGTCACCCAGGCTGGAGTGCAATCTCAGGTCATTGCAACCTCTGCCTCCTGTTCAAGTGATTCTCCTGCCTCAGCCTCCCAAGTAGCTGGGATTACAGGCACCTGCCACCATGCCCCGCTAATTTTTGTATTTTTAGTAGAGACAAGGTTTCACCATGTTGGCCAGGCTGGTCTTGAACCCCTGATCTTAGGTGATCCACCCATCTTGGCCTCCCAAAGCACTGGGATTACAGGTGTGAACCACCATACCCAGCCCTTTTCTCCTTCTTCAATACCTGGGGGTGGCTGGACGAGAGGCTGCAGAAGAACAGTGGTGCTGGGAGGCACAGTTCTGGGTGGCATTGGGATGGTGGTTAGCACCACAGGTTTGGGCTGCAGTGGCGGCTTCCGGGTGGGCAAGGCTTTCCCTGAAGGAAGGTGAGAGAAAAGAACAAGAAATGTCAGGACCATAGGTCTCTCACTAGGGATCCCAAGTGTCAGAAGGCCCCATTACCTGAGGAGCCATCAGGGGATGGGCCCATGCTGATCTGGACAGCTCCAAGTGATGGGGCTGGGATATCCCACAGAAGACACCCTGAAGGAGATGGGGACTCTGTCTTCACTTCCAGGACCTCCTCTCCTATAAAAGCCTGTGTGGGGCATTCCAGAGATATGTTAGCCAGGAGGAGTGTTGAGGAGAAAGAACTGAAGAAGAGAAAGCTCTCATACCTCTGGGTCAGGAGGAACTCACTGCAGCACTTGGAGGGAGGAAGGAAGTTGGTGCTCACCTGGCTGGAGGAGTCGGCTGAGAGCAGGGAGGCCTCAGAGTTGATGGAGGAACATGGAGAGACAGGTTCTATCTTGGTATGGACATCTGTGGGAGGCAGGATGAGGCAAAAGCTGGATATTATGTAAACACTGAAGGGTTAAGAGGGTTGAGATGGGGAAATGGGTCCTTTCTCTTTGAACCTGAAAATAAAACTCTTCTGGCCCTAGACTGCAGTCCATCCAGGAGGGGAAGCCACAGAACTGCTCATCTGCTGGCTCTTCATCCTGCTCTTCGCCTGGTGCTTCCCTTTCTCCTTCAGTGGCTCCTCCAATTTTTCTCATCCCTGCTCAGCGATCCTCAAGGCTGTCTTTGCCCTTCTGCTTTTCCCTCTTTCTTGGTCACAGAACTCATCTATTCACCTAGAATAGGCCTGAGCAGGTGGGTCTCCAGCATTCACAAGGCCCAAATTCCTATCTTGCTGGATTTCTACCTCATCCTGGCCCAGTGCATCTCCATGCTGACAACTGCCAAGTCTGCATCTCCACCCGGCTGCTCACCTGCACGAGATCCTGACTTCCAAGCTGCCTGCTGGTCCCTTCCATTCTCATGCCTCATCAGTCACCCAAATCTAACTGGCCCTAAGTGAGGCTTCCTGATTGTTCCTTCACACAAGTTTTCCTCCCAGGCACCAAACAGCAAAGCATCAGTCACCTCTGAGCTTTCATGGCCTCCATTACATCTGCCTTTATGATTTGTTGATCACTCCATTTAAAAAAAAAAAAAGGTAGGTCCTACGGAGGTGCAATAAAACCTTCCGAGAGCCAGATGCAGCCTGCAGGTCAACAGTCCACCACTGCCTCTGGTCCATATCATTCACTTTGGTACTTAATTCTATGATCACTAAGATTGCTTTTTAAAAGTTCAACTTACATTTTCGAATAGATAATATTGTCTTGACACAAATTCCAAAGGAACAAAGGAAAATTAAGTGAAAAAAAAAAAAAATCTTCCCTTCCCTGTTCTCCAGCCACTCAGATTCCCTGTACAGAGGTAACTAACCTCTATTAAAACTATTTAACCATGGTAGAGTATGGTGGCTCACACCTGTAATCCCAGCACTTTGGGAGGCTGACAGCTGACACAGGTGGATTGCTTGAAGACACCAGCCTAAACAACATGGAAAAACCCTGTCTCTACCAAAAACACACACAAAAAATAGCCAGGCCTGGTGATGTGTGCCTGCAGTCCCAGCTACCTAGGGGGCAGAGGCAGGAGAATTGCTTAAACCCAGGAAATGGATGTTGCAGTGAGCAGAGACCACATCACTGCACTCCAGCCTGGGTGACAGGGCAAGACTCTGTCTCAAAATAAAGAAGGAACTATTTAACCATGATGCATTATAACCCTCACAAAACTCCAAAAGCAAGGACTACAACTCATGCTCATTGAAGTGATGGGTAAAATACAGGCCCTTAAAAAAATACCTAAGTATGGAGGAGAATATGACTCTAATAACACTCTCTGATGCAAATTCACCAATAATCTTTTTGCTGCTAATGGTATTTCAATCCTTACTTTGTATGTCTTTTTTTAAATAACATTTATTAATCTGCTGGATATAATCTGTTTGTCCCTCCAAATCCACTCTCCATCCTTCCCTGCTCTGCTCTGAGATCAAGGAAGAACCTGAATGGACTGTATCAGTGGGTTCCCTAGTTGGAGTTCAGCCAGTGAGAGACGGTGCCAGGAGATCCAGAAGGTACTATGAAATCAACAATCAACATGTTGGCCAGGTGCAGTGGCTCACATCTGTAATTCCAGCACTTAGAGAGGCCGAGTTGGGCAGATCACCTGAGGTTAGGAGTTCAAGACTAGCCTGACCAACATGGAGAAACCCGTCTCTACTAAAAGTACAAAATTAGGCTGGGTGCAATAGCTCACACCTGTAATCCCAGCACTTTGGAAGGCCGAGGAGGGTGAATCACAAGGTCAGGAGTTTGAGACCAGCCTGGCCAACATGGTAAAAACCCGTCTCTACTAAAAATGCAAAAAATTATCTGGGCATAGTGGTGGGCACCTGTAATCCCAGCTACTCAGGAGGTTGAGGCAGGAGAATCGCTTGAACCCAGGAGGCAGAGGTTGCAGTGAGCCAAGATTACGCTACTGCACTCCAGCCTGGGCAACAGAATGAGACTCTGTATCAAAAAAAAAAAAAAAAAAAAATTACAAAATTAGCTGGAGGTGGTGGCGTATATCTGTAATCCCAGCTACTCAGAAAACTGAGGCAGGAGAATCGCTTGAACCAGGAGGTGGAGGTTGCGGTGAGCCTAGATCATGCCGCTGCACTCCAGCCTGGACAACAAGAGCAAAACTCCATCTCAGTCGGGTGGAGGACTAGGGGAGGGATAGCATTAGGAGAAATATCTAATGTAGATGACTGGATGATGGATGCAGCAAACCACCATGGCACGTGTATACCTATGTAAAAACCTGCCTGTTCTGCACATGTACCCCAGAACTTAAAGTATAATGAAAAATAAATTAAAAACAAAACTGAATTTCAAAATAACAATCAACATATGCATCACTGAATGCATCATCTTCCCTGACCAGAAAGCTCCTGCTTTTGCAGCCTCCATCCAGTGAATAGTAACATCACCCATCCGCAGCCACCCTAGCCACAAGCCTTTTTGACTCCTACCTCTCTCCAGTGTCCAGGAGGTCACCACAACTCATCTATTACACTTCATTCTTTCTCAAGTCTGCTTTCTTCACGACATCTGAGTATCTTACTCGATTAACTGCATGAGCCTCTTCCCTGGTCCTCTTAACCTCTGGCCCTGCCCCTCTGCAACCCATTCTCTACTCTGCCACTAGAATCATCTTCCTAATCATATTGCTTCCCTGCTTAATTCTTCAAAGGCCCCATCTACCCACAGGGTAAAAGCTAAGAGCCCCTTAGCAGGGCCCCCACCTGTAGCCTCTGTAGTTCCACACCACTCCCCATATCCTTCTTACCCCCACTCTGAAGAAATGCAGGCTCCTCACACACAAGTCAACTCCCACACTGTCCTCCTGGCTAATTTCTATGTGTCCTTTAAAACTCTCGGGAAACCCTTCTTACAGGAGCATGACCCAGATCCAGCCCCAATTTGGATGAAATGTCCCCTCTCATGAGCTTTCATGGTACGCTCTAGTAACTGTTATCCTAAAATGACCACACTTGTATTGACTGATACTTGTCTTTCTCCCATTACCAAATCACAGGGTTGAAAGTCAGCATGTTGGTCAAGTCTCGTTCATCTTTGCATTCCCCGTACTCTGCTCAGAATCTGGCATAAAGTAGGTACTCAGTAAATATTTCTTTTTAAAAGTACTGTACCTCAGATATCCTCATATCAATAAACATTTACTAAATAAACAGCTAGGAGTAAATTTGGGAACACTTTAAAAATAGAACAAATAATGTTAATTGTGGAATCTCAGAGTTTAATATATGGTTCAAGACCAGCCTGGCCAACGTGGTGTGCTTAAAAATGTTTATGATAAGATGTTGGGTGGGGGGAATCACACAGAAAAATGTGCCCTAAACTGTTCACAAGTATTTAAAAAGTAAGCTGAGTGGCATGACAAAATACTAGGAACAAAAAAAAGAGAAAAATAATCTCCATCTCCTCAGCACAGCACTGCCATTGCTGGGGTTCCCTGAAATGTTTCCTTCCCCTCCCGCCTTCCTCCTGGTCACCTACCATTTCCCCTCCCCACCTGTCCAGTTGCCTGCACTCCCCCTCCATCTACACACATAGACGCACATGTACACATTCTCCCTTGGTAAAGCCGAGGGTTGGGGACAGGCTGTTATTACCTGAGGAATCATCAGAGGTGAGGCCTACATTGATCTGGACGGTTTCAAACGAGGATGTTGGGTCATCTCCCAGGAGACAGAGTGGGGGTGCCAAGGACTCTGTCTTCACATGGAGCACCTCTCCTACCCCAAGAGCCTGAGAGTTGGGGTAGGGCAGGGGAAAGAAAAAAGGGCAAAAAAGAAGGGAGATGTTGAGAGTAAGAGCAAGAACAAAAGCTTCAGGAGTTCAGGGCTTACAAACCATCAATTTTTTGACATTCTGATCTGAATGGTTGTGAGCATCTCCCTAACCTGTTCATTCTACTTTATTTCTGGGAGAACTGATGAAGTTTCATGATTTCAAATATGGCCTTAGAGTGGAAAACTTGGGGAAGAACAGTTTCAGAATTCTCAGCAGTTAATAACTCTTCTTCCCAGCCCGATAAAACTCTCTGTATATTAAAAAACCCCAGATCAGGCATGGCGGCTCACACCTAGAATCCCAGCACTTTGGGATGCCAAGGTGAGAGAATCACTTGAGCTCAGGAGTTTAAGACCATTCTGGGCAACACAGGAAGACCCCATTTTTACAAACAATAATTTAAAAAATTAGCCAGGCATGGTGGCATGTGCCTGTGGTCCCAGCTACTCCAGAGTCTGAGGCAGGAGGATCACATGAGCTCAGGAGGTCAAGGCTAGAGTGAGCCATGACCATGTCACTGCACTGTAGTTTGGCTGAGAGAGGGAGGCCCTATGAAAACAAACAAACAAACAAACAAACAAACAAACAAAAAACCCACACATCTTCACTGCTAAATAACCAAAGGGGATGTGGAAAATGAGGATACTAAGGAAATGACAAGGTGGTGGAGAAGGCCCCCACAACACCTCACACACCTCGTGACTCACAGCACACAAATCATTTAAATCATCTTGGGCACCCATTGGTGAAGGGAATGAAGGAGAGTCCCTGCCACAGACAGTAGGAGGGATATGGCTCTCTCACCTGGCTGGAGGGCTCTGTGGAGAGATGTGATGATTCCGAGCTGAGGGAGGAGGACGAGCAGGGGGAAGATGGCTCAGACTTCACCTGAAGATCTGGAGGAAAGGGGGTTAGAAGTTATCAGGAAGCAGAGCTTGACAAGAGTCCAAAACGTGCCCAAGGACGTGTCGGTGGTGATTCCCCCACCACAGCAAGGGTGAAGAGGCAAAAATAGGGGATTGAAGGAGAGAGGATAGGCACTTATGTAGAGGTGTGAGGACATAGGAAACGATGTAGTTTCTGGGAAACTCTGGGAAGATGAGGGTTTCTGGAACGCTGAGGGAACCACAGAGACTACCTTACCTGGAAAGATGGGCAGGAGTTCCCACGGGGGCTCAGGGGGGCTGACATCCATCCCCACGTCCAGGGAACTGCCGTCAAACTGAGTAAGGGAGGATGTAAGAGGGCAGAAGTGTGAGAAAATATAGGTGACTGGGCTCACTTTCCACCCACCAAGGGTTAGAGAAAGGCTGGGGACACAATACCGGGACATCCTGCTCCGGGCAACGGAAGAGCTGCGTCTGTTCCTCGGCCACTTCATCTAGGCCAGAATACAAGGTGCTGTCTGCAAGGAATGCTGAGTGTCAGGGGGGTCGTCCGGTGGGCCCAGCCTACATATCGCACACAAGTCCTCACCCCATCCCTCATTGGCTCGGCTCGGCCAGACCCACCGCCCGCCCACTTGAAAAGTGATACAACCGGAGCGCTTCAGCCCCTCCTTCCCCGACCCCGGAAAAACTCGACGTTCCCGCAGGGAGCAGAGGTCTTCCCCGACTTCTGTATCCCCTTAATGCACGAGCCCCCTGCTCCGCCCTCCTTCAGATGGCGGATTCCGTATTTGCCCAGCCTTCCTCTTTAGGCCTCCGCTTCTTTCCCGCGTGCCTCAGGGACTCAGTTTGCCATAGCCCTCTCCCCTCCCCGGGGCCTCACTCCGCAGACCCCAGTCCTCCGGGCTCAGCAGGTTGTCGGTGAAGAAACGCGTCGGGTCTGCAATCTCACTGAGGAGCATCAGCTCCGCCATCTTTCCCCCCCACCCCCCAACCATGAGACGGTTCCCAAGACCCGCCTCTCCCAATCATCAACTAATCAGTTGACTCTTTTAAAAAAGAGGGCGTCCCGGAAGCTCTATCGACCAGTAAGAGACCTGGGTGCTGAGCACGTGAATCAACAGTCGCGGATGGCTGTGTGGGCGGGCCCAATGGGAGGAGGATTGCAGCCGGAAGTAACTACCAGATAGTACCGGGCCGCCAAGCGCATGCGCCAAACCAGCCCCGGCGATAAAGAGCCTGGGAGATGTAGTACCCAGTATTCCCAGTATTAAGGTCCACCATCTCCCCCAGCCAGTATAAGTTTAGTTTAGACAGCTTCTGTGTCTTCGGAGACGGAAAAGCCCCTCAAAAGGGGCGCACTGAGATCACTGTTACGTCCCCTAGGAAGCCAAAAGCAGAATGGGATATGGGCAGAAACCTTCCCTCTGGCCCCCACCCCCAAATCTCACAGTACAGAACACAATTCACAAGTTCCTGTCTCTTTTAAGGTTTAACTTTTAATCAGCCAAACATCTTGCGCAGACCCTGAGCCAGCCCTGCATCCTGTTTCTTCCCCTGAACGACCACCTTTCCCAGTTCTTCCTGGGCTGCCCGGTTTTTGGGGTCTATGGCCAGCACCTTCCTGAGGTCAGCAGTTGCTTTTTCCAGGTTCCCAAGTGCAGCCTGGGCAACCCCCCTTCGGTATAAGGCCTTTAAATGGCCAGGCTCCCGCTCCAACACCCGGTCACAGCTCTGGGCTGCCAACTGAGGCTGCCCTAGCAACAACTGACAGGCAGCCAGATTGGCATGAAGGACAGTTCGTTCTGGAGGGCCAGGTGGGGGTAAAGTCAGCAGCAGCCGAAGAGCCCGTCCATAGCATCGGGCAGCTCCTTCAGGATTCCCAGCTCGAAATAGTTCTGTGCCCCTTGCACGTTCTTCCTTGGCCAGGGCTTCCTTCTCGCT